GATCCACCAAACAAGGGACTGTTGGACTCACCTAGCAGGTCGGGTAAACCCAACACAGGTTTGCCCAAAACCACTAGGGGGGCGTGGGGGGGGGCTCTTCATAAAAAGATACCCCCCTTCCTTTCCAGCAGAGGGACAGGGCCTCTTGGGAATATGGCCCATATTTAGTCGGGAGTTCAGATTTTTTGTTAGTGTAGTTCTTGTTCATAGTTCAAGTGGAGAGGCTGAGATTCAAACCAAGATATACAAACAATGTCTAAGGTTATAACTGTGGTATCACTGAATGTCAATGGTTTAAATAATATCAAAAAGAGAGATAAGGTCCTAAATAAATTTAGAAAAGAAAAAGTACAAGTTATACTCTTACAGGAGACACATCTAACAAAAAAAGGACATGGAAAGTACAAAAAATTAGGGTATGGAAACTCATTTTCCTCCTCATTTGGAGAAAGGCATAAACGAGGTTTATTGACATTGAGCTCAAATAGTGTAAAGTTTGAATTGTTGGAGGAAATTGGGGATAAAGAAGGAAGATACTTAATGATAAAGGGCAAATTGGAAAACCAGTTAATCACAATACTCAATGTATATGCCCCTCCAGAAAGCGGCAAAGTACTCTTTAAGAAAATATTTGATCTCATTAACTTGGAAGCAGAGGGAATATTGATATGTAGCGGGGACTTTAATGCTGTGTTAAATTATAGGATGGATACTACAAGCAATAAAAATAGTAAAAAAACAAATCAGTAGGCACATGAACACCATGATGTCAGAAATGGCAATTGTAGATGTGTGGAGAGGAAGCTGCAATAGACCAAGATTATACTCATTATTCAATACCACATGGTGTTTATTCCAGAATTGACTATATACTAGTGAATAAGAGAGAACTACACAGAGTGAAAGAGTGTAGGATTGGAGTTTCAGAAGTTTTTGATCATAACGCAATCTATCTTAAGATCCACCTGGACAGCAAAAAGAACAATACTTTATGGAGACTAAATGAAGAAATATTAAATAACAAGGGTCTGGTTGGTGAAGTAAAAGAGGAGATAATCCGATATAAAGAGGAAAATTATAATGGTGAAGTAGACCCAGTAATTCTTTGGGATGCCCTGAAGGCGGTAATACGGGGGAAAATGATTTCTTACACAGCATTTATGAAAAAAGCAAGATTAGAAACATACATTAAACAAATAAGGAAACAAATAAGAACAACAACATCAATAAGCAAATGACCCAGACATATTTAATCTGATTAAAGAAACCAGGAAAGAAATGGATGAGAGTTTATGGGAGGAGGTAGAAAAGAAGGCTAGATTTACTAAACAAACGTACTATGAGGGGGGACCGAAAGCTACAAAAAATATGGCTAGGCGCATTAAGAAACAACAAACATTAGGTAGCATACATAAAATAAGAGATCCACTATCTAATACAATTTTATATGAACAAGAAGAAATACAAAGAAGATTTGAGCAATACTACAAAAATCTATATGCCCAACCACCATCGGCAGGGGAAGAGGAGGTGAGTAATTTTCTGGAAAAATTGGATTTACCAGCAATAGGCACAAAACAAAATGCGACACTGACTTCTCAAATTACAGAGGAAGAGATTACAAAGGCAACTGGCAGGACTAAAACAGGAAAGTCACCAGGGTCAGATGGTTTAGGGTCTTCTTTTTATAAAACCTTCAAAGAAGAATTAACAACACTGTTATATGACTCGTTTAACTATAGTCTCAGGACTGGCAAGATGCCTCCTTCTTGGAAGGAAGCCATTATTTCCGTAATCCCAAAGGAAGGTAAAGACCAAGAATACTGCCACAACTACAGACCGATATCGGTACTAAATGTAGACTACAAACCGTTTTCCTCCATCATAGTTAAAAGAATGGAAAATTTAATGCAGGATTTAATTGATGAGGATCAAACGGGTTTTATAAAGGAAAGACAAACACAAGACAATATAAGGAGAACTCTTCCCATCATAGACCATCTGCAAGGAAGAGGGGAGGGGGCAGTTCTGATAAGTATAGATGCAGAAAAAGCCTTCGACAGTGTCAATTGGAACTTTTTGTATGAGGTTTTAGAAAAATTTGGATTTAATGAGACATTTGTAAATTGTATTAAATCAATTTATCAAGAGCCAACTGCAAGGATTAAAATAAATGGCAACCTGTCAGGAAGCTTTACTCTGGAGAGAGGAACAAGGCAGGGATGCTGCCTCTCACCAAGTCTTTTTGCACTGTTTATAGAGCCACTAGCTCAGATGATTAGGCAGGAAGAGGAAATAAAAGGAGTGGAAATAGGAGGGGAAGAACATAAAATAGGGTTGTTTGCAGACGACATCTTGATTCATCTAAAAAACCCAAATGAAATGTTTTTAAAAACAGTAAGTTTGCTTGAGGATTATGGGAAATTCTCTGGATACAAAATTAATGTGGAAAAAACACAGATCCTAACAATAAATTACTCCCCGCAGCAGAAAATAAGGGATACCTACAAACTTAAGTGGAATGAAAAATCTATAAAATATTTGGGGGTAAACATAACCAAAACAATTGACAAACTCTATGATGCAAATTATTTAGAAATAAACGACACTATCAAGAAGGACCTGGGGCGATGGATGGACATTGGCTTTGACCTCAGTTCTAGAGTGAAGATAATTAAAATAAATATTTTACCACGACTGTTACACCTGTTTCAGTCCCTGCCACTGACTATTCCGCAAAAACAATTTGTAGAATGGGACAGATGGATTTCAAGGTTTATATGGAACGGGAAGAAACCTAGGGTCAGATATAAAACACTTCAGCTCCCAAAAGATAAAGGAGGTCTGGGTTTACCAGCCCTAAAAGAATATTTCTGGGCCGCACAAATTAGACCTCTGGTATGTTGGTGCAATGATACCAGCATATGTCCCATATGTTTCAAAATGGGAAAAATCTGGAAATAGGTAGAAAAGACATAGAAGTTAAAAATTTAATAGCACATAAAATACTCTTAGGCAAACTAAGCAATAAGCTAGATTCAATAACTAAAACTATGATTGAAATATGGAACACAGTAATTGATAGTTACAAGTTAGAGAAGGAAACAAGGAGTTTGAGCTGGATTGCTTGGGATCGGAGGTTTAAACCAGGTATTTATGATATAGGTTTCAAACAATGGGCAAATAAAGGTGCCACAGCAATGTGTAAATTGACTGAAAAGGGGAAACTGCTGAGCTTTAATAGCTTAAAGGAAAAATATGAACTGGAGGATCAAACCAGTATAGATACCTGCAAATAAAAGATTATTATGAGAAAGAGATAAAAACCAAAGTAAGTAAAATAATAGAGATATTTCATAAGGCCTATGAGGGGAATAAATTACGAGTTATTTCAGCACTGTACCAGGGACTGATGGCAGGAAGGAAGACGTCTACTATGTACATTAAAGAAAAATGGGAAGACGAATTGAAGGAACACATAAGCGAGGAGGAATGGTTTAAAATTTGTAAAATGCAGTGCAGAGCCACCTGCTCCCGTATGTGGAGGGAATTTAATTGGAAAAACATGATTAGATTTTTTATAACACCAAAGATCAGGACCAGGATGGTATCCAGTTCACAGCCATGCTGGAGACTCTGTGGCCAGTCTGATGTAGGCCACACACACATATTCTGGTCTTGTCAAAAGCTAACCACATACTGGCATAATGTTTGCCTTATCTTGAAAAACATATTGGGATATGGAATACCCAGATCACGTAAAACACTCTACCTGGGATGCCTCACACACGATGCAATTCAAAAGGATGATGAATATCTGTTAAAAATATTACTTTCAGCATCAAGGAAAACCATCACAAAATGATGGTATAGACAAGACCCCCCTGCGGTGGAGCAGTGGCTGAGCGTTGTGGAAGAGATCTTCGCAATGGAGAAAATCACATATAGACTAAGATTGCAGGAGGACAAGTTTGTTGTTAAATGGGAAAAATGGAGCGACTACAGACGCAAGGAGAATGCCATTCTTGTATCCAGTTAAATATGGACACGGTTGTCCAACATTGTATGTGAAGTTGAATGTATTGATGCCTCTCCACTGTATGTGTTCAGAAATGTTCAATAAAAAATAAGTATAAAAAAAAAAAGTAATAAAATCCAAAGGAACAAATGGGATCATTTCCTGCCACATTTTTAAATCTTCAGCTTAGTGACACCCTCAAATTTCCTCTGTTTAAAATGTTATCCATAATTAACTCTGAACATCCAACTCAACTGAAAACCCTTTTATCGGTTTTACTTTTCTGTCATTTTAATGTTTCTACATCCTGAAGTCATGCTTGGATCTGGTTACCAGTTTTCCCTCTGATCAGGCTCACAGTGCGACATCCAGCTCAATTATAGTCGAAGTCTTTGTTATTTTTGGTCTGCAGCAGAAATTCTTGTTTTTTTTTTTTAAATTTATTTATTTCTCCTGTCTGCAGGAGGAAGTTTGACTCACCTGGGACTTTAGGGGACCAATCAATTGCGAAGCCTTCACTCATGTGTCCTGAGAAGCTGAACAGCGGTGTAGCTTCTTTCTGCTGCTGGACGAACGTCGCCATGGCAGCAGAGCTGTGGACGGCCTCCAGCTGAGGTCGAAGGTCGAATATCTCTACCTGTCCATTGTCCGACCACACTGCAGCCAATGGGAGCTCGCCACACTGGGTCACCTGGAAAAGAAATTCAACCAGCCATTAAAGGGGGCCTGTTGTAATTCACATGTTTTATGCTCCCATTTGGGTTTCAAATGCTTCCAAAAACAGCTCAAAAACTTTAAAAACAACAAACAAATAAAATCCTCCTTCCGTTTTTATGAAATAAGTTTACGTTTTTGATTGTGTGGAAAATGAGCCATTTTAAACACCTTCCAATGGTCAAGTCATATTGGGGCGTTACCTAGCAACCCAAATGGAGCACCAGCTGTTTGGTCAGCTCGTATTACTGCTGTACTGTGCTGTACAATGGTAGCTGGAAAAGACAAGTGATTTGCTGTTGACTTACCATCCAGAAACCACTTGTTGCATTCTTGTTGGCTGCGCAGGAGGCTCTACTTCTGCTTTTCGAAGGTGTACGGTTGTATAACTGCGTATTTTTTGCAGCCATTTTCACGTGTGAGGGAAAATGTTGAGTTTGAGGGCATCGCCAGCAACAGCTAATTTTGATTTAAAGTTACAAGAAGCCCTAAAATGGCTCATTCTGAAAGGAGCTCAAATTAGGCAGAACTGACCAAACAAAAATCTCATTATCGAAGAATGAATATGTGCAAATAATTAAAAAAACAAACATATTTTGTAGAGCATACAGACCTACACTAACCTGTTAAATAAAGCTAATTAGTTCTCCTTCAAAGAAAATCTGTGCCCCAGTGAAGATTTACCTATTTAAAAAAAAAATGACAGACTTACTCTAACTCTGTTAATCCCTCCATAGTGAGGCATCATGGCCAGCTCCAGCTGTGGCTTCTTATCCTCTTCCTCCTCCTCTTCATTGCTTTCCTCATCGCTGCTTTCCTCCTCTTCGTTTTCCTTCTCCGTTCCATGAAGGTTGTGCATGCGCATCACCAGAAGTCTGCAGCGAGAGCGAGGAGCACATTTCCCAGGAAGGTGAACAAAGAGGAGCTTGAGAGTGAAAGTAAAAAAAAAAAAACACCCACCACCTTCTAACGGACTCTGTTTATATTCAAGTTCTGACAGATTTTCAGTTAAATCCTGACTGGCAGGTAAAGGATTTACACGAGACCTAACCTGAAATCCGCTCACCATGAACAAGTCTGCTTTTATCTGGGTGTAATGTCTGTTTCCACCACTGACAGTCATTCATTAATGTAAGAGGCGAGACTTAAAAATAATATTGCACAATGTGAAACAGAGCCAAGAGGAACTGTTCAGAGATTTACTAAAGCGGTAGTTCAACAGAAGTATCTTACTGAGCTTAAAATAAGCACAGGACGATTGTTTAATTTATTAATAATTTAACTTCTTCACACAATAGGTTGGATTTTATTCCGGTTTTCAGAGTAAAGGGGTAAATATACAAATGCAATGCAAAGATTAGTGAGAATAACACTTCCTCTTCCTTTTATTCCTTCTGAAAAGTTTAATAAAAATTCATAAATATTACATTTCTATTTTTAAATTTCTTTTCAGTTACTTCAGACGCAAATGTACACACAAAGTTAAACAATTATTTACTTTATTTATGGGTATTTCCCTCCTATTTTGTCAGGAGGAAACTTCATTACTGTGATAAGAAAAACAAAAAACAAAATCTTCCAACAATAGGTCGCAAAAGAGAATAATTAGTATCAAGTGATTACAACTATGAGTTGATAAATACATTTTAAAATCAATAATTTAGGTTAATTACTGGTTAAGAAAGAAAATAAAATTGCATTTCTGCAGTAACTTCAAACCTGAACATATTTAGAGGCTATAAAAAATATTTATCCCCTTGGATGATTTGCAAAATCAATCATCACTTGGCTTTCCTGAGGAAAAAAAAAATACTAAATGTCAATTAAATAACATGTAACATAAAATAAATGTCATTTATAATTTGTTTTGTCAAAAAAAACTAATTTTTTTGGTCATCATTGAGTAAAAAAGTAAGATACTTTTTAAAGGCACTGCACAATCTGAATATAACACATACTGTTTTATATGTTTTATGTTCACATTGTGGTCCATCACATTAAAGTTTTTGTGGTTGGATTGTAACAAAATGCGCAAGAATGCAAAGGAACAAAGAAACGAGCTTATGCAACAAATTTCACAATGATCAGGCTTAAGACAAAAAAGCAAACACCGATACATCAAACTTCAGTAATCTGGTGGAAAGCTGCACATGCACATTTCTGCATGTTTAACAAAACAACAGTTTTATGGATTTAGCTTCAATCTGTCTGAGAAAAGAGTAAACAACTGACTTGGAGTCTAAGCAAACACAATCTATTTTTTATGTGCCTACTAAAACCACAACCAGTCCTGTTAACTTCATGTAAACATTTGCTTTCCGCTCAGCTAAACAAGCACAGAGAATCCTTTGCCATGTCGATGTCCCAACACAGGAACAAGGCTGGATCGGATCAGCTGGATGGAAACCCGAGCAGATGTAACATTTCTGTTGTCTCTTGAGACACTCCCTTCCCACTCTTTCCTCCACAACAACAAAAAGAGAGCAAAGTGTTGAGACAAATAATAACTGCAGCTTTTAAAAGTTGTTGATAGCATCACACACAGAAAGCAACAACTGGTGCTTCTGTGAGGATACACACAGCTTAATTTAGGCACTTTAAATTCTAATGAACATCTAACCCTGGACCTGGAAGACATTTTAAATATCCAAAATAAACAAAACGACAAAATTAATTTTGAAGTCTCTGCAAGCAAAATTGTCCTTCAAACAAACCAAAGCACCAGACTGAAGACTTTCATCATACAGGTTTTGGTAGAAAGAGAAAAGAGACTAATGATAAACCATGTGACTGGATATTATTGAGCTCATTTTAATTGATCACATCCATCCATCCACTATCTTACAAGCTTATCCCCAGTGGGGTTGAGAGGGGTGCTGGTGCCCATTTCCAGTGGTCAACTTATTTATTACATGAGTAATTAATTTATTGATTATTGCAACAGGTCCAATGACAAATGTATCTCCAGACATAGACGATAAATTATCCTCAAAATTATTGCGGTAAACAATAACATTGTTGTTTTGAGACCATTTTCAAGTAATATAATGGTAATGATGACATAATAATGCAAGTTCACCCTCTCAAAGAATGATAAACTTTAATTTTGTACTGAACACTGGAACTAGGAGATATCTTAAATATTCCAAATAAAACACAACCAAAAAATAAATAAAATGGATTACGAAGTGTGTGTGTGAACAAAATCGGACTTTTAAAAAATCCTAATCATCGATATGAAATTATCGAGATCATTTTAATGCGATTAATTGTTTATTACGGCGTGTAAAAAAAATTAAACTTGTTGCCAATAACCTTAACTAAAACTACAAAACAATCACCAAAACAAATAAACCCTGCCACTGGGGTATTTTATTTTACAAATGATTTCCCTTTCCTTTGTTTGCAACATAAATGTGCAATAATAATCTGGAAGATCTGAGCCAGTGGTCTAAAAGTGAGCAGCAGTGTGTGGTACCTGTTCTTCAGGGCTGTTTCAGCCTGCGTGCCCGCGCACAGCAGCATGGACACGGGGAACTGCTGCCTGCCGTCTCCGTCTCCGTCCTTCATCACGTCGAAGCTCAGGCACGGAGCACCTGAACGAAAAGTCAAAAAATTAAACCTGGACGGAGCTCCTGCAGTCTGGCTTGAGCAGCACGTCCAGCAGACCGGGTCTGAACTCGCCTGTTTGGCACTCGTGGTACATGCGGTACGCGGAGCGGTCCATCTCCAGCTCCTCTCCGGGCTGAAGGGGCTCGATCCCGGGGACGTACACCTTCTTTCCCGCGTCTCCTTCCTCTTCCATCTCTACCCCTTCGTCTTCCTCATCTCCCTCCATCTCTGCCATCTCGCCTTCTTCTTCTCCTCGGTTTAACGCGTGTTCATCGGGCGCAGACATCTTGGAAGGGTACTTCCGGTCTCTGAAGCGCCACGTGGTTTGAGCGTCCTCCCACTTTCTCCTCCTCTTCCTCCTCCTCCACCACCTTCTCTCCCCTCTTTCTCTCTCTCCCACCCTGTTTACGGGAATTCAGCTGGTTTCTTTGGCGCTTGGCTCCCCGCTGCCAGGAAAAAGCTGTCTTTCAAAGATTTCTTTCGAAAACATGACACCAGACTGTTGGCTGTATTGTGTGCATGGTCAACCTGACCTCTCCAGAAAGCCTCCCCCTTATGTACATGTGTGCTTTCTTTTTTTTTTTTTTTTACTGGGGTCATCAGTATTCGGTGACCCACCCAAGACAAGGTTTCGGTGAATCACAGTTAAGCCTACTTACGGGAATTATGAAACCTCCTGACATTAGTACCCCTGTCACAGACTGGAAACCAGGACTTAACTCTCCAGACAGGCAGACATCTTAAATATTTATGCCTCAGACTGGAAAAGGTACAAAGAAGCGGTTCACGTATTAAAACGTAAATATTTCTGTCCCCATTTGTACAAATATGTGTTTGTTCCCCCTTGCAAACTCTTGACACAAATTCAGTGTAAACAATGAACATGCAAAACATGGTGCTTCCATGGCGACAGCAAGGCAATGCAATGCACTTCAAGGGTGAGGACAATGGTACACATTACATGTCTGGGTGTGTGTGCAAGCAGGGGCAAGTGCCAGCATAAAGATTTCACGTTTATTCCTCTTATTGTTTCAGACAGAAGACAGGCCGCCACGATGCATTCCTCCCCCGTCTGCAGCTTATCTTTGAATTTTTTTTTTTTTTGCTTTCATCCGACATATCCACATCACAGTTCACCTCACATGAATAGATAAAGGAATCCAGGGGCATAAACAAAAGCATCTCATCGCTGAAGGGGCCACCAAGGCATCCGAGTGATCTAGCATGAACAAAAGGTAACTTAAGGACTACTTTGTTCGAATTAAGCAAACGAAAAGAACTCAAAGACACGGAGGCTGTAAAATCAAAGGTATGAAATGAAGCATTTTACTGTTTCAGTAACAGAGCATTGATCCATGCAGCAACATTTACTGTCTGATAAATGCTAAACTATTGCCCTCCGGTCATTCACTAGAGCTAATGCACTCTTCCATCTTAAGACACACAACAAAAGAACCGTAATAATAAATATAAGTTACTGGATCGCTCTAATTTAAACCAAATGCTACTATACCTGAAAGTCTTTAATTTACATTTACTTACAGGAATAAACTCTCACAACATTCATTTGTAAACAGTGAGGCAACCACAGAGAATGGCTTATGTGCACCGACTAGCTCAGTTTGGATCTCTTGTTAGCAAGGAAAGCACAATTAGCTGGAGCTTGTAGCTTCTTTTTTTTTCAACCAAGAGAGTGACTATAGGTATAGTATATATTTGATATAACAAGAGCAAAGTTAGCTGACTTTTGGCATTTCATTCAGCTTGTGCATATCACTTCATTTTAGCAAAGCTTACTGCATCAAAACTCAAAAATAATTCATTCAGTGCCAGGTAAAAGTTTCATTGTTGTGCAATAAAAAAAAAAAAAACAATGTTGCTACCAGTAGAGTCCAAATAACAACAACAATAACAAGGGGCTCCAGAAAGCTGCAGGACAAGGCCGGGATCGAGATCTTCCACAGGACGATGGAGGTTTATTGTCTATCATTTTTTCAGGCTGGTCTTCCTCACGTCTGATGGCTCGAGTGGTCAATAGTTTGACCCTCACCGGACCGTGGTCCTTCCTTTCCAAAGGCGTGGGCAACGTGGGCAACATGGGCGGGAAACAAGTTTCAATTGAAGGTGAGCAACCCACCTCGAGCCACCGAGCAAAAAGTTCTGACGTTAGATTTAATAGTTCTTCTGGGGAGGAGGACAACACTGGGTACTGCTTGAGATTCGTCTCCTCCAGGAAACTCTGAGAAGAGGAAATGACGAAATTAGAGGCTGCAGAATAATCAGAGAAACAACTCGAGGCAAGTCGTAAAAGCTGCGATACTTAAAGCTCCAGCTCCTTCTACAGTTTACAAAACTCATAAAATTTAACATGTCAGAAAATTAGCACATAAAGACTGAAAATGCTACCTCTGTATTTTTGTTCTTTCCAACAATTCTATCCAGTGTCAGCTTCAGCTCTAGGATGAAGGTGTAATTGAGATGCTGATCCCAGAGGTTTGTGACGAGCACATGCCAGGACTCCACGAGAACCACTGCTGCCGAGAACACGCAGCACTGCAGGGAGACCTCAGAGTTAGCAATGCACGACTCATGACGGATCACCACAAGAACCACATCAGTGGCACTCGAGTGCAAGTGACACTAGAGAGCACCTGCTGCAGCAATCTGTTCACAATTGATTTTTTTTTTCTTTTTTAAGATGTGTTAATGAGTGCGGGAGAAAGGTAATAATTATCCAGGTTATGGAGTCAAACATTATCCCAAAAGAGGAGGTTGACTTCCATGAAACACACAAGCGGTTTTATGACATGCGAGACTCTGCTCCCTCCGTTTAACTGATAACTAAACTCACCGGCTCAGTGTCGCACAGCATGCTTCGAGTGTAGTGGTGCGCTACACGATAATCTTTAGGGAACACAGACCGCTGGAGGAGAGAGAAGTAAAAAAAAAAAAAGAAAACCAGATCAGAACTGATTGAGCTTTGTGCTGAAGTTGATAAAGTGAGGCATATCTTTTGTAATTGTTGCAAATCTTCAAGGTGACTAAAAAAAATGCAAAGCATCACATAGTTTGATTTTCCTCTCTGATCTGATACGCTTACTCTGAATCTATTTTCTATTCCTTCACATTGTTACATCACATCCTCACTGACGAAAAGCTGCTGATTTAAAAAAATAAAAGAAAATAAGAAAAAGTAAAGACTTACAAATCCATTTGGATTAGAATCGATTGTTGCCTTTATGTTTTCAACACCTTTCAGGTCAAAGTTACATCCACCACATTGGACGATGAAGAGCAGCAGCAAAAGTAGACCTGTTTGACACATGAGTGAGGATGAAAGGAGCAGATGACATTCAGATAATAGGTGGAAACTTTCTGTGGTTTCTATCTTCTCGAGCTGCATACCTACAGAGAAACGTTTCAACATATCCTGTGTCAATTTAGCCATTTCTACAGAAAACAGACGAAAATACTCTGAGCTGCAGTTGCATCGCCAACTCCAACAGTATGACATTAGTGTGGCTGAGACTGTAGCGACACATGCAGTGAAAGTGTGCTGTGATGCCTGAACAAGCACGAGTAAGAGTCTGCTCTACAAGTTCTACAAGTGCGCACATAGAGATAAAAGCTGAAGTAAAGCATTTGAAGGGTGTTCTTATTTCTCACCTGGCATTTTATCTTTCTAAGAATGGACACTTCTCCATTTCTCTTGTTGACAGCAATCACTCTTCAGCTGTGTCACTCTGTGAAAGGCAAAGTTTCCTCCTCTGTGGTTTGTTGAGGTCTCTGACAGAGCACGCTTCTGCCTTTCCTCTCTCTCAGCGGTCGATGTTCAGTCCCCTTGCTCACATCCCTCAGTGCATTCTCTTCTTCTGGTTTCCTCTGGTACTTTCCAAAATATGACCCATTAATCTCCACAAGCCATCATTCTCTTTCACTTTGGATTTTCCCTCTAAATCCCAGAGTGGCTGCAGCCTTCTTTCGTTTTTAAGAGCTTTTTTTTTGTCTCCCCTCCTTTTTTTTTTTTTTTTTTGGCACTACAGACCTTGAATCTTCCTAAATCTCAGTAGCTCCTGGGTTCCTTCATGGATAAAGCGGCAGAGACGCGGGCCACCCTCCTCTCCCTCTGGTCACTCCTTATGTTCTCCACTCAGACACAGGCGCCGCTCAAAGTGAAAGTGCTGGATTGCCTGCCCCTGTTCCCTTTAAGTCCCGGCCCCTCCCACGCCACACGGTTTACCTCACTATTGACTGACCCGGCTCCCTGCCCCCCCCCCCCCCCCCCCCCCCCCCCCCCCCCCCCCCCCCCCCCCCCCCCCCCCCCCCCAACCGGGC